GGGAGGAAGTGGAAAGAAAGCTGTTACATTGTGGGGAATTGCAGTCAATGTCATGAAACAAAATGTATATGAACTACTGTATGGAAAATGATTTTGCTGTGTGAACTTTCACCCAAGTCACAATAAAAATTAAAAAAAAAAAAATTCCAGAAAGACGTTTACTTGTGTTTTATTGACTATGCAAAAGCATTTAACTGGGTGGATCATAACAAATCATGTATAACGTTGAGAAGAATGGGAATTCCAGAACACTACTGTGCTCATAAGGAACCTGTATATAGACCAGGAGGCTATCATTTGAACAGATCAAGGGGATACTGCATGGCTTAAAATAAGGGAGTGTGTCCAAGTTGTATAATTTCACCATACTTGTTCAATCTGTATGCTGAGCAAATAATCTGAGAAGCTGGACTATATGAAGAAGAACACGGCATCAGTATTGGAGGAAGACTCAATAACAAGCTGCAATATGCAGATGAAACAACTTTGCTTTATGAAAGTGAAAATGACTTGAAACACATACTGATGAAAATTAAAACTACAGTCTGTAGTATGGATCATATCCTAACATAAAGAAAATAAAAATCCTCACAACTGGACCAATAAGCAGCATCACAATAAATAGAGAAAAGATTGAAGTTGGTAAATATTTCATACTATTTGGTTTTGCTATCAACACCAATGGAAACAACAGTCAAGAATTCAATGTATTGCACTGGGCAAATCTACTGCAAAAGACTTCTTTAAAGTACTGAAGAGAAAAGATGTCTCTTAGAAGATGAAGGTGTGCCTAACCCAAGCTAAGGAGCTCTAGTGGCATAGTGGATAAGACACTTGACTGCTAACCAGAAAGTCAACGATCCAAACCTACCAGCTGCTCTGGGAAAGAAGATGGAGCAATCTACTTCCATAAAGACTTACAACCTTGGAAACCCAATGGGGGTCGCTGTGAGTCAGAAACAACTCTATGGCAGTGAGTTTGGTTTGGTTTGTTTTAACTCAAGCCATGGTAATTTCAATTACCTCATATGCATATGGAAGATGGACAATGAATAAAGAAGACTGAAAAAGAATTAATGCTTTTAAGTTGTGGGGTTGGTGAAAAATATTGAAAGTACCATGGACTGCCGGAACATCTAACAGACCTGTCTTGGAAGAAGTGCAGCCAGAATGCTCCTTGGCAG